AATCATTTTCAAATAATTCAAAAAGTGCTTAGTGGGAAATACATTTTGTCATCAAATCTAAAGACGCGTCAGTTGAAATACAACTCACGTTGTTACATTCGTTGATGCTGAGCCGCATTCAAATTAAAAACCAGTTGTAGCACCAAAGATACTTTAGACTATCGTAACATCACAGATTTTGTGTTTGCACAAGACGTGCAACTCTTCATCATTACTGCATTTAGGGGTCTTTTTAACGTGACACTCAAGGATTCATTAGTTTTGACCTTTGTAACAAAAAAAGTCCACCAGCTCGGTCTTTGATAGTAGACCTGTATGACCTTTATATACTACTGTCAAATGTGCTTACATCCTTCAGACGGAACGGATACTTTTCTTTTCAGCAACACTGAAATGACTCATAACCCAGACAGCAATTCTTTTGCAACCGTGCCTCTATTTGGGGAGTTTGTTGTGGTACAAACCGACCGGATGATCTTGTACATGGCCGGGTTGGTGAAGAAGGGCTCATCCAGCTCGTTGTGGCCCCACTGACGGTAGCAGATCAGGTCCAGGATGACGTCTTTCCTGAACAGCCGCTGGTACTCCACAGCCAGCCGAGTGGCCCGCAGCACGTCCTCCGCCTCGTCGCCGTTTACGTGGATCACGGCACAGTTCACCATCTTCCCTGTGCAGCAAACGGGAGCATTAGAGCCGAATCACAACGGGATACACGAACCTGGTCAAGTAACACGTCGTCTTTTCAAGCACATCCAACTGTTTCGGTACGTTCCACTGACCGACATCACTGCAGTACAAAGAGGATCGGCCTCGCTCGGACGGAGTGGTGTAACCCACTTGGTTGTTCACAATCAGGTGGATGCTCCCACCGACTCTGTAGTGAGGGAGGTTTGAAAGCGTCAACGTTTCTGGAACAACCCCTTGGCCGGGGAAGGCGCCGTCACCGTGGACCTGTGGAGAAGAGAACAGAGGTGGATCGGATGTTGGGTGGATCCCGTGCAGGTAATCCGGTCCGATTCCCCCGACGGAGGATGAGCTCATCATGCGGCCCCACTTCAAAACATCCAAACGCTCGCTTTCATTTCAGACTAGTGGTTCTTCGCTGCGCGCGTGTGTGAGACCTACCTGCAGACAGACGACTTGGTCCCCCGGCTGGGCGTTTTCTTCGGGCGAATAGTCTCCTTCTTGCCGGAGCTGCTGCCTGGCTCTGGTTTTGCCCTGAGCCACGGGGTTGATCGCCTCCAGGTGAGAAGGGTTGGGCAGCATGGTCACGTGAATTGGTTTTGCGGCTCCGAAATCCAACTCCACCGAGGAGGTGAGGTGGGAGAGGACGTCGCCGGTGGCCGGAGAGGTGTCGGGGAACTCGCTGAGGCCGCGCATCTTCCGGAACATGAGCTGAAGAGAAAAACCAAGCGTGTTGTTTGACGTTATCCCTTAGACCCTTAGACCCTTGTGTATCCCTGCAGGTCACGGCTAATTTGAAAGTGTGCATGTCTCCTTAATGAGTCCATCTAAGGCGGATTAACCTCTGGTGGGAACTTCAGCAGGCCCGTCAGCAGGTTGAGTCTGCCTCTATGTGGCATGCCGATGATGATGTCAGTGACCCCGCTGTGGGACGAGTGGTGGAAAAGCTCATAGAAGAAACCCATCATGCTCTCTGCTCCTTCTCCCCCGTAACGTTTCACCGTAGAAAACTTGGTGGCCAGAAAGTGGTCAAATTCCTAGAGGTGGTAAGAGAAAACTGGACGGATTAAAAATATGACACAGGATAAGATGTGACAAAAAATACAATTCTTTCTTCTTGAACCTACCTGGGACTCCAGCATGACCTTCGCCAGCTGCTTCCTCTCCTCCGCAGAGAAACTCGCCTTCTTGAGCTCCTCGAAGCGGTCGGAGAACCACTCCCTCTCCTCCAGGCTGCTCAGCTGGCTGGTCTCCACTGACAGGCTGCCACAGTAGGCTCCCTCCAGGTAGGCCTGAACCTCTTCCACCGACGCCTCCGCTCGGCCAAAGTGTTGCAGACCTGCAGAGGAGCAGCGAATGAGCGACGAGTGTTTCTGAGGCAAAAGTGAGTGATATTTTGCTGTCGTTTATGATCATGTTTGATGTTCAGCTCCTCTGGAATTAGATAATAATAATCGTATCTAATCAAGGACAATGTTGTACTAGCTGCAGGTTTATTATGAATGCAATTTACAAGTATGCACAAACACATAAACAGCAGTGTTGTAACCATAAAAACCTAAACTTAATTGTTGGTGCTATAACCAATCGTAGTACATGCATGTAAGCTTTGCTTTCATGTTACATTCAGGTACTACTCAACTTTTACTCAGGTAAATTTTTTTGATGGGTGAAGTCACAAGTTCAGATTAATTTCTGTTAGTGATAAAATATGTAATACATTTAAATGGTCAACATGCTATAATAATGATGATGAATAATGATGAAAAAATATATTGAGCTGCAAGCTTTTTAAACTTGAAGTACATTTGCTTCTATTAAGAATCGGTAATAGTTTGAACCTTTCTACATTGCTGATGTACTTCAGATAATGAATGAGAACACGTGAATAACACCGTGCAGGTTGTACAAACTAAGAATACTCGTCCAGTAAGAGTACACACTGTCCTAACATTCTGCACGTCTGCCCCCCGTGGATTGTGCACATAAACCCCCCCCCCCCCCCCCTCCAGCTGTCGTGTACCTGCGGTCTGAAGTCTTCCGGTCATGGTGCCGGTCAGCATGTTGATCTCCGGCACGCTGGCAGCGACCGGCTGCTCGGGCTGCAGCGGGTTGATCTTAGCAGCCTTGTGTCCATGGGCCCTGTATGCCTCCACCAGACGGGCCAGACGGTGATCTGCGAAGCGCCACCCGCCCGTCAGCATGAGCCGCCCCACCACAAACACGCGTCCACCGCCGCCACTGGCCGGCGCGGGCGTTTAATCAACAACGCGACTAAATGGGTATGTGGTATTTCACAAAAGCACACTGGAACAAACTAAAGCTACTGGCGTGTGTGTTATTTAGTTGGGCTGTTTTTATGAGTCCCGTTCTGACCTTGATTCAGTGCCGCGATCCGGTCGCTCTGTGACTTGTGGCGGTGTCTTTCCGGCTCTTTGGGCCGGTATCCGAAGACACCTTTCTCGGTGTGGTAACAGCCGGCGACCACCTGCCGAGCGGCACCCGGCGGAAGCCCACTCAACGACTTTCTCAGGAAAAGTACAGCTGACATTGTTCTACAAAAGCTCTAACAGCAAACTCTAGTGAGGACACGCCGACGACTACAGGACGGCGGCCATACTGCCGGAAGAGCGGCGTACGTCGTTAAGGGAGGAGACGTCGCGCTGGAAGCTTATTGGCTGAGGGCTCTGTTCGGACTCACGGCCCTGTTATGGGAGTATGGCTTTTTTAGCATTATTAGTTCGTGTTCTTATGTTCATTTAAAAACAATCGATTGGTGTGCACACGATAATACGTTTCGGGCCTTCGGATAAAGTGCCTGAAGTAGCTTCCCGTTACGCACCGCAACCAGTCTTAGGACACGTGGTTGCTGCTGCGTTCATGTCTCCTTGTAAATTTCAGTATTCACATTTGAAAGTTGTAAAACAGGATTTTATGTGGTTTTGGTCTGACATGTGGAGGTTTTTGGAGCAGCATTTGTAGTACGCTTCTCGTCAGCATCATCAAAACACCAATTTTTACTTCAGGTAATTTGTAGTTGGTTGAAGAGGAAAAGATGATCATCATTTTTTACATCATTTGCACTTTTCTTTCAAAAGAATTCATTAGAAAATAACTATATTTTAGTATATTGCTCTTTATGGTCCATATCATATGTTGGTCAAAACGTTCATTTTTAACGCAAGATTCTGCATTCAATTAACAAGCAAGGTGATCACTTAATAATTACCACTAAAATCTGTTTTGATGATTGAAATCAGGTAAACATCAAGGTTAAAGCTACTATTGTATCAGTTGGAACTGTACAGTAAAAGAAGCAGAGGTGCTAGTTTCTCCACCACGACCAGCCTCTTCAGACCATGATGGAAGGCTTGACCTTAGCTGAATGACCTATACAAGGTTTGTAATTTGATGTCCTCGCTTTCGGGTATCTCCAAACAACTCAAATCCATAGACATAAATCGACTAAAGTAGGAAGCTAATGGATTAAAGATGGTGCCGAAAACCAATAAAATAATGATTGGTTTTTTGGGCTTTTCTTTTGAGTATATTAGACTAAAAACTATTATCAATTAACCAGATGATCTTTGTCACCTTGTCTATAAAATGACAGAATAGGAAAAAAAACAAAAAACTTTCACAACCATTTAGAGCCCTTCAACGGCTTTGTCAAATTGCTTTTTTCTGTTGTGCCAAATTTTAAAATATGTGTGCATGTACGTTTGTAAATGTAAAACAGGTGAAGCAAATACTCACATTTGAGAAGCTGGAACCAACAAATGTTTGGGATATTTGCAGTCAGTGTTGCACCCGTTGATTTATATCCATTATTTATTTGAATTATAAACACATCCCAAAAATAGATTTTTCTTCCATCACATGGAAGACTAGAATAGCTTCAAACCCTCACAGCCTGAACCCTTGAACAAGAGAAATAATCATTATGTAAATGATCGCCAATTTTAGATTCCGATAATTATAACTTTTGTTTTATTCTCAACGCATCCAGTAATCATTTCATGGTAGGTTGTTCTGAAATGAACTATTAACTCAACTTTACATCGACGGGATGTTTGTTCTCACACAAAGACTTAAAACCCTTCAGACAGACAAGCGACCCAAAATAGCGGCAAAAAAAATAAATTAGAATTGAAACCCAAAATAATAACCCCAAAATAATCGCCTACTGAGAAATAAGGCAAGAGAAGCACAACAAAGAGAAACGAGTTAGCGAGACATGACACACTGGGGGAGGGAGGGGTGGTTTGTAAAAATGTCTTTACAACACTGGACAAGCACAACACAAAGACACACAGTCCATATTAGGGGAAATGGTTTAATTTGGAGACAGAGGCAAAGTAACACACCACACATGAACAAACATTGACCAAAAAAAGAACAGTCTTTCGGCTATGTCCTCCGCTATGGGAAAAAACAGAAAACTCTACACAGGTAAAAAGCAAGGCTCAAACTAAACAGATAGTTAACTCCTCAACTAAGACAATTAACCACACAAGTTGTCAAAATCCTGGTGACCATTTAAACTACGTGGACAGCACAAATACTAACATGAAACTTACCACGATTTAGAGGATCCCAACCCCCCACCCTCAGAAACTGAAGCTGATAAACGAAGTGAGGCATACGTATAGATCCAAGTCAAATAAAAATCAGGCATATTTTTTTTGAGAGACAAACAAAACAAAAAAAAAAATTGCTTGACACCACCAAGAGGCCAAACTCAAGATCTGGTCAAGGCGAGGCCACATAGAGAGGCCAGACAATTTTTCTTTTCCAATATAGATTTTTTTTCTTTAATTTCCAATATAAAAAGCTTCACTGGTACAAAATACATATGAACAACCAGTTGTAGAAATTGGAAAGCCTGTGTATGGATTTTTTTCCTCCTTTTTCACATCTCACCCAGTTTCAAAAAATTTATAGTGAGTGAACAGAAAAAAAAACTATTGTAGGTCTACAGATCACATCAAGATGCACCCACTTTGGCTTTCATCGAGACAAGATAAAACATCTATTAAATTATTGGTGGAACGTGAATAAAGTCCTACCGATCAGACAAGAAAATAACAAAGGAAAAGATTTTTTTTTTCTTCCTCTTTTCATTTGGATCAAGACAATATCTATAGAGATGCAAAGTTACCACACTTGTCAAAAAAATAGCACTTCAGAATATGAACAACAAACAAAACGAAGAAAGTGATTGTTAGAGCTTGAACGGGATTGGTGATGGAAGCCCCTGAAGTGAGACAAGTTCCGCTCAGGACCGGACGTTGTGCTTTTAAAAAAAAAAAAAATCATTCACAGTAACACTTCACCATACACGGCATACCAACCACAGAGCTGCAACCACTTCAGTGTCTGACACACGGTTCTTTTCTCCATTTAAACAACCTCGTTACCAAAGGCAAGAAAGTTGTTTTAACTCAAGTTTTAAACTTGTTAACTTTATTTAAAAAGAAAAGAATTCCCTGACTGGTCACCAATTGTTTGTATAGCAAAGTGTTACAGCACACTTGTTCACTCTCACTAATAAAGAGGTTTTCCTTCAAACATATGGGGACGTTTATTGTTTATCTACAGGTTCTTTTAACCAACTCGAGTACATCACAACACACATTTACTAATAACTCAGAGTGGGAAAGGTGGGGTGGGGGGGGGGGGCATGAGCAGGTGACAAGAGCTTTCATGACACGGGCATAAATAGACAAAAAAAGGCGAACTGCAGCAATCTCTAAACCAAGGCCTGATAAGGATGTGTAGGCAGTTTCTAGACGTATATATGGCACTTTGAATATTGTATTGCATTTGGATAGAAAAAACACTGTAAAAAGCACATGCCCATATATTAAAAAGTGAAGTCAGTGGTACCTTGTAAATTTGGGGGATTATATCACACTCAACATCCTGCAAAAGTGATTAGCTCCCACAATTGTGCTTGACATTTCCTTACAAAACACTTTCCTCGAGCACTGATTTTTTTTAATTTGGTACCTCTTTATATATATTTTTTGGAATATTTATGTATATGGAGGAGAGGGGGGGGGGGTCAAATGATGAAAATTGTCCATTTTGTGTTGTAATTCCAGTCTAGTTTCACACACAAAAAGCCCCTGAGTTGACAACTCTTTAGCGCCATCAGGTACGCAGTTTAAGGGAACCCTTCTTGGGGGATGAAGTGGTTGTTATTTTTACCAGGGTTGTCTTAACAACTAGTAGTACAACAGACAAAATACCACCCTGGCAAAAAAAGAAGTGTAAACTTTTGTGCTGAAAAATGGAATGTATTTGTAAACCAACACTAGTTGTGGTGGACTTTGTACGGTCATTGTGTGCGACTAAAACACGACAGTAAATTAAAAGACCAACTAAAATAGAAAAGCAAGAGTGCGTGAGTGTGTCTATAAAGATTGTGCGGAGACCTACAGGTTGTGTGTTGTGTCCATGTGATCTACTTCAGGGGCTCCCAAATTTGCAACCACAGAAAGTGTTTTGTGTCGCGTTATGTGCGTGCGTGTAAAGAAAACTACGTTTGTTTTTTTAATAGTACAGGAAAAGAATGTGTAAATTCAAAAAAACAAAGTTTGACACATGGGCACTTTAACAACAAATTCTAACAAAGACATTGTCTGGCATCTGTATGGTTAACAGACATTGTAAATCATCTTTCAACATGAGGCATCCAGACTTAACCAAAGTGAAACATCTATTAATTAATGTCAAATTCACACAAAGTCAACAAGACGTACCGTGAAAGTTGAAGACTAATTTTTTGTTTAACGCAGGAAAAATGAAAGTCTACGTACTGTGACCCTTAAGAAAAAACAAGTACTTTTTCATCAAAAGTTGAAATTACAATTAAATGTAGAGGATCTTTTTTTTTATTTTTTTATTTTTTTTTATACTTAAAGTGTTTTTAATTAACTAGAAATGACCTCAAACTGTCACGCTGATCAAACTGATTTTAGTCCTCTTTAAAAATGTAATACACTGAAGTCCCTCCCCCCATCCCAACACAGATGACATTACAACATAATCTACAAAAACCCCAAAGTTTTGCCTGGGTTCTGTTAGTTAAACTTCTATAGATTCAATGGTATAAAATATAGGTAATCTAAGTGTGCATTTAAACCACAGATTGTCTATTTGTGAATCAGTTCTAAAAAAGTTGACTCATGTAGGTAGCCATTTCTCTAAACAGAGCAAATGTACCTTTTATTGTGCCATCAATAGATCAAAAAAAAGGTAAATACACTGGATATTTTTTTAAATCAAAAAGATTTTTTTTGTGTAAATCTTTACACTGCCCGCAAAATGTAGAGATCATTACAGAGCACTGAGGGGTTTAACTTTCAAAAGTGTTGGAAAGTGGTCTGTAGCATTTTTTTAAGAAGCCAACATATTGCTAATGGCACCAAATAGCACAGCTGTGTGCCAATCCCTGTATTCAACTTTCAAGTGAACTTTACTGAGAGGTAAAAAGAAAAAACAAAGCTAAATTAAAAAAATCCCACAGGTTTTTAAAACATTCTCAAAAAAAGGTTTCTTAAATGAATTCAACGCAGGTAACTTTTCACATTGATTTGCTTGACCTCTCTCCCCAGTCACATTTCTATACAAAACAAAACAAACTGAATATACATGCAGAAAAATCAGGTTGAGCAAAGGTCAAGGGTCAGTGGGTGGCCAGGTATTGGTCAGGCGAGCTTAGAGAGACATCACAGACAATGGTGGGATGATGAGGCCAGGAGTTTGGCTTGGCTTTCAACATCATGAAGACATGCTAGGCTAATGATGAGCAAACAGGCATGGAGATTTGTTCTAAAAAAGGAACAAAAACACAAAAGGAAGAGCGAGAGAGAGAGAGAGAGAGAGAAAAGACAAAGAGGGGAGAAAGTTAGGGCCACAGCACAAGAATCGTTTAGCCATGAGGCACAAACAACAACAAAAACAATGCCAATCACCACATATAGTAAGGACAACGGGGTAATCTACACCCCCACCCCCACCCTCTCCCGACACACAAAAACAATAGTGACCAGGACGTATGGCAGACTCCAACATGCACAAACTGTATACTTGGCACCCAAAGAGATCCATCTAGTCGGGCCCACTGGGGAGGAGGGGGACTAGAAGGATGGATGGAATGACTGGAAGAGGTTGTTAATAGAGCAGAGAGAGGTAGCCTAGCTCAACATTGTTTTTGGAGTGCAAGAGACTTTCACAGTAAGAATGAAAAATGGAAAGAGACAGACTACACGTAAGAAGCCAAATGGGGGGTCTGCGAGGCCCCTCAAAGCGACTACTGATCCTTAGTCAACCGGTCTAAATTGATCTGAAGGCAATGAAATGGCATGGAAACACAGCCGATGCTCTCCGCTAATTACAGTGACACAAAATACCTCCAGCGAACACTGACTCCAGTGATAGTCATAAATAATCATATACATTAAAATATTTAAGCCGACTCAAATGACATAAAACCGCAGGAATGAAATACAGTAAAATGAGGAAAGATCATTGCAAACATGTTTCTTTTCATACAGGAATAGAGAGTCTCCCTCCTGCGGTGGGCTCCTTGCCCCCTGCCCCACAGAGTCTCTGCTGTGGTGACCTTGGCTGGAGGGTGAACTTACCCTAGCAGTGTTAGCATTAGAGCTGGGGAGGGGGCGGGGGGAGGCCCCAGGACTAGGATCAGTAGGGTTTGCTGTCGTTCTTGGAGCGCTTCAGCTGAACCTTCAGCCTCTTCATGCCGATCTGGAAACCATTCATGGCCTGGATGGCAGCTTGCGCAGACACAGGATTGTCATAGCTGACGAACCCTGAGGACAAATTACATACAAGTTCAAAAAGAGCAATTGAACACCCTGATTTAACTTCCACCCATTGTCTTTAAAAGTTCAAACTATAATGTCACGGGTTTGAACTGCACTGCTGACACTATCAGAACAACGCTTTACTTAAATACGTCAACCTCACGTATTAGCCTGTTTGGCAATTTTAATGAAGCAGGTTTCAGAGACTAGTGGTGCCAACACACTTACCAAAGCACTTGCTCAGATTGGTCTGTTTGTCAATGAAGACTTTGGCAGAGACCACATTTCCAAAAGGCATAAACATCTGGAGAAGATCCTGGTCTCCAAACTCCTGGGGCAGGTGGTAGATGAACAGGTTGGCGCCCTCTGGCCCTACTCCATTTGGTAAACACACACACACACACGCTCACTTTAGATGGGTGTTATGATGCGCACGCAGACACAGATGGAAAAACCATGTTGCTATGATGACGTGACACCAGCCTGACACAAAAGCGATGATGCTCACCTTCCTTCTGACCCCCAGCAATGCTCTGCTGCAGGAGAGACTGGCCGTAGAGGGAGGGCAGGGCGGAGGCGGCGTACTGCTGCATCCCTGAGTAGGCCTGGGTCAGAGCGTCCATGGAGCTAGCCGCTGACCCGTTGGCCATGGAGGCTCCCAGGCCCCCATTCATGGACCCCATACCTGTCAAACGGAATCAAATGAACCAGATGTAGTCAGCAAACACATTTGGAAAACTTGCCAGAATGTTTGTTTGAGGAATCGAGAGGGTTGGACACCCAGAAAATACAATTTACAATAAGCCTTTTGTTTGTCAAGTCCCACTCCCTGGTGACTTCATTATGTAGTTATAGTAAAATATACAAAATCTGCAACATATTCCACACATATCAAGAGTTAGTTCAACTAAGAATTAATTACAGAAGTTGTAGGTGGTGTTGTATTGGATTGCTTTTTATCAAGATGTCTAATATTCTCCCTTCCTCAATGTTTGAAAATGGGGAGTTTGGAGGTAAAACTAAAAAACAGTTCAACACAAATGCAAACTTTACCTCAATTATAAACATGAATAAATAAATAATTCTAAAATCATTATCCATGGGACGCTATAATTTATAGCAAAAGCACCAAGTCAGTGACCTTTAAAGTGTCTCTGCTCTCTAGTGGTAGTTCTGTCTTAAAGCAGCATTCCCAATCGTTTGGAGGTTTTGTACTTCAATCTTCTTTTAACTTTCGTCCAGCTATTAAAAAGACGACATCCTTACCACCGACACTGTTGGTGAGCGCGTTAAGGTTGAGGCCCATAGAAGTCCCGGTGAGACCCTGCAGGGTTCCCAGAGACGCCAGGGTGTTCATGGCGGCACCGGCGCTGGCCGCTGATGAACCCACTGTGTGGAGACAGTGAAAAAAAAAAAAATGAAGTACGGGTGACTACCTCGTGTTCAAAAAGAGTCATCCAAAAAGTTTTGGATTGTTGCCACACATAGTTTCAGTAATGAGGAGGCCACATCATCGAGGGGCAGTCAAAAATCAGTTTGTCCTTAACAAAGAGGTCATTACTGCAGCAGCATGTGCAAGAATTAAAACAGATGGCCACAGCCAATGTATATTTAGGGTTGGATTAAAAAGGGAAATGGGGGCTCCTAAAATGTTATATGTGGCTGATTAAAGCCCATTAAATGAATGAGGAACGGCTGAGGGTCATTAGGCAAATAGGTTTGCAGAGCAGTTGGTCGATACCGTCACAGCAGCAAGAGGGCTAACTGTACAACATTTATGTTCGTATTTTCATCTTCATAAAGGGATTTTCATTTATACCCAGATTTAAATGTCACGTTAGTGACACTACATGGGGGAATTTGGCGAACATGCATAAAATGACCATGAGGACAGGGTTAGACTCACCCATGGAGCTTAATATTGTATATACAGTGCATGCACATACTACAGCTCATGTTAATGTGTTTAATTACTTGGGCCGGCCAGGGCTCCCAGGGCTGCACTGTTTGCAGACATAGCGCTGGTAGAGGTCGGGCTCCCAGAACTCTGGGCTGCGGCCGCAGCAGCAGCTAATGTGGCCAAGTTCTGAAGCTGAAGGGGGTTCACACCTGCTGCGAAAACGAAGACACAGTGGTAATTATCAAAGTCTTTCAAAGGGGTATACTATAGCTCTGAAGGACGCCGTTGAGAAAAGTCTCTTGGGGGAACAAACTTATCCAGAATCCAAGCGTAGAGAAAGTTTGATGCGGTTTTGGAAAAGTGTCATCAGCTAAATAACACGTTTCTGTTTATTCTGGTGTCACACTGGTTTTCGGAGTTGGCACACAAAGTGTCTGCTTCCTCATTAAGATGACTTAAGAACAGCCATCAGAACATCTGAGAGGGGGAACTCACCTCCTAGCCTCTGAATATTATTGAAACTGCCTTGGTTACTGGTAGATGTGGCCTGCTGGAGCAACTGTTGAGGATAAAGGAAAAAAATGCATTTATGAAATAAAATATGGCATACACAATTACATTCTTCCAGTCAAAAAATGCTTGTATTGATGAATTTTCATATCAACATTGTCAAGTGTTGCCTTTATACAGTAAACGTGCAGACTATGTGATGCATGGCTTGGTTATTGAGACAGCGTACTGGGGTTTTAGGCCCCATTCACATCCTGATCAAATCCAGATGGGATTTTAGACACAACAGTTTCAGTTGGACCATATTACTAATTGATTGCAATCAGACTTTGTATATCCAAGCCACATACGAATCAGGGTGGGTTCTGCAGCAGCCCAGAGTCAGCATGTGCAAGTCACATTCATGAACAAAAACTAGATAGTCCTAATCCGAGGTAAAGAGAATCAATGTTATGTGAAAACTTTTATGTGATGTGAATTCGGCACATGGGTATTATTAGTAGCCATATGATAGATATCTTTTTGATAACTTCGTAACATTTTTGCCGCCCATGTTGAGGACAAAATGGCCGCTGCATTGCCATCTATGGCATTAACCGGTTAACAAAAAAAAGAAATAAAGAAAATGGTTGGATTTGAGGTCTGCTTGGACAATAACCTCATTCAGGGGACATCACCAAACCCACCCCTAAAATTAAGATTATCTAGTAATCATTTTGTTCTACACTTGTACAGCAAGTTACCATGTGGTAAACATATGGCTAAAGGATTTTTACATTTTGGAACCACATGGTGTGCCATATGATGATGTACAAGTAATTGTGGAGCTCTGTGTGGTCCTCCGGTTGAACAGCACTTACCGCCAGGTACTGTGGCGAGAGGGTCCCCAGGCCGGCCAGGTTTCCCCAGGTGGAGGCGCTATTAAGCTGCTGAATCTGCTGTACAAGCTGCTGCTGCAGGCGCCTCTGCTCCTTATCTCGCTGCGTGTCGGCAAACTTCACCACCAGAGGTGAGGAACAGCCCTGAAGCAGTGAGGATGTCAGAGTTGTTTAATTCAGGAGCACATTGAAGAATACAGAGTTTATCCGTCAATGCAAGAGCGTTGAAGGGAATCTCTCAAAGGGGGGTATCATCAACGCCTCAGGACCGATTTAAAAAAAAAAAAAAAAAAAACCTGTTGCATTCATGTTGGAGCGAACTGCCATGCAGAGCTGAGGCGGGCCACATTAAAAAAAAAAAAGGAGCACAGGACAACGCTGCACACAAACTCTAAATTCAATTAACAGACAAGCAGACACCAGATGGGAGGGACAACACTTAAAAAGAAAAAAAAACACATTCAAACGAGGATATGTGGACACATATTACCGAGGAAAATGCATTACAATACATACAGTCGCACAGACAGTCTTGAACGTTTAGTCAGACGGATGGACACGAGGCATGCGGTGCTAAATTATTCTGGGAGTCCAGAGCCAGACGGGGACCAGGCTGGACGGGGAAAATTGGCTTCTGCACCAGCAGCACCTCCCATGGCAGCCAAGAATTGGGGAGGTCATGATATGCGGGGAAATAGGTGGCAGTTTAAATCCGGTTGGACTTCTAATTAGACTTTTTCCTGGTGCTTCACTGGGGAGCCTATGACCTGCTAGTTGTCAAATTACTGCTGCTCCACTTTCACAAAGATACCATTGGGTACACGATTACATGGACCCAGTTTCTGAAGAGCTCTAATAGGAATAGCTGCTCCAGTCCGGTTAAACTATATTTCAGCATGCGAGGTCTTTTCCCTGTGGTCCAAAATAAAGATTTATGATGGCTTACAGGGGTGTCTAGATATTAAATATGATCAGGATCAACAAATGAGAGGCTTTTAGACCAGCAGAAAATGAGACGACAGCATTTGTTCTCTTTTTGCTGTTGGATCTGGATTCAGCAGCTATGTGTGGGGCTTTTTCTATTCAATTATTAGCAATTATTCAATTAGCAAGAGTAGTTTTGGAAATGACTCATGCTCTGTGATGACAGGTTCTTCCATCTTTCCAACACATGGGGGCAGCAGAATGTATGAGGGAGGGATGAGAAATAGGTGCTAAGGGGTACAGTACCTCCATAGTCTGAGAGTGATGCATGGTTTTGATTGCATTCTGTGCCATTGCTCTGGTAGAAAATGTGACAAACGCACAGCCTGTAGGGGGGGGGGGGAAACAATAGGAGAGGGGGAGGGGGTTGGGAGGGACAAGAAGAAACAAAACAAGACAAAAAGGTTTGGACAACTCGTTATGAACCCCAAAAAAACACATTACAGTACAGAGAATGGCAACCAAGCACACAGAACCACCCTCACTGGTTAGCACACGGAGAAAGAACACAACAAGGAGAACAGTAACACGTGTCACATGAGCATAGTGATCGACGGATTAAATTGCCACCCAAAGAAGCTCAACTTTGGGGTGCATTGGTGAAACAGTCAACGTGATTATAAACACATGAAAGGCACAAATAGATGCACACTGAAAGGCTTTGATCCGATTATGTGTTAAAATCCTGCGCATCCATTATATATTGGTGGTTACACTGCGCAAAATTACGGGGGGGAATAAATTCACAAAAAACGTCTGTGCTGGGAGGGTTTTACATCGACGCGAGGGCCTCGTGCCGCCCGCCATTGGAGGTTTTGTGCGGGTGAGAGCTACGTAGGAGATGCGAAAACAAGCTAATTCCAGCCTTTGTGGAGTGTGATGAAGGAGGCGGTAAAAGAGGAGCTGCGCTGAGCGCCAGCTGAGCCCACGAACACCAGCAGCCAGCGGTTGCCATGGCGACGGGCCATTGTGCCGGACAGCGAGTGCAGTGGCCCTTTCGCTGAGTGCAGCGATGGCGGGAGGATAGGCGATGGGCATGGAACGATAGTGAATAGCACTCGATTTGAAAGTAGAGGGGGTTTAAATAAAGAAGCCGGGAGGGGCCTGAATAAATAGTTGATGAGGATATGAAAGCACACCTACCTCTGCTCTGACCATCTGGTCCGCGGAGAATTCTGCACTCTTCCATCTGGCCGAAAGACAAGAACATCATTCTGATCTCGTTCTCGCCGTATTTCTTTGAAATCATTCCGATGAAGAGTTTTCTGTCTTCTACCGCTGCGGATGGATGAAAAGAGAGAAGCTATTCAGACAAACAATTATGAAGCTGTGACAGCTGCAGTTAAATCAGGCATTAAATCTTGCACTTCTTTTTCAAGCCCTCTCCTTGTCATGCTGCCGCATTTCCTGGGTCTCACTTGAGGTGTCAGCTTCTTGTACAAATCTCTGCAACACGCAGCCTTGTTTTCCTCAGCGTCCACTTCTTGAGACAGATGACTAGCATCCATGTGTGCTCTCCTCCAGGTCCTCTGTACCTGCGCTACTCTTCTCCCCCTGGTGCCTTTTAAAGCCCTTAATCCTCCAAACCCCTGACACTATATAGAAACGGTGTATTGCTGCACATTTACCGCACCAAGTCCCCCTCTGGCCTTCATTTGGGCATTAAACGGAGGCACAATCCAGCCCCTGCCTTCTTTTAAAATCTGAAACTATTTCAGGCTGATGCCCCCTACATTTCATGAGGGCTGTAAACAAATATTCGATATATTAAAATATGCAGCGGTCTGCCTTAATGCGCCGCACGACGGGCGTCACGGACCGTCACTATTGGTAATTAAAAGTCAAATGAACGGGTAGGTCAAGCTGAACGAGGAATTATTCATCAACAACTTGATGGCAGAGAACTTGTGCGGCAGACGAGGCGACATTGTGTCTCTACGGCAAAGCGCTACGTTCCGCCATGACAACACATGACCATGAAATCAGACTGAAGACGGTACCACTAACATCTTCCTACATTTGGACCACATTGTATATTGTGATATTTACTGGAAATCTTATAGGTGACCCTTTTTCCAATCTCACAAATGAGCCATTTCTCGTCCATAACTTGATTTAAAGCCAACGACAGGAATAAATAGAAACCGACCAAAATTCGTGTCGAAGTGGCGCGCTGCGTTGTGGCGCGCTGCGTGGCCCGCGGCTGGTTCCGACACTGTTACGGTTATAATGAGCAAAAATAGTTATGTAAATAGTTTGAACCGATGTTTTTTTTTTTTTGAAGAAATATTCAAACTTAATTTTTTCTGTCAATTTTCACAGTTGTACATTTCACATGAATCCACCTACCACTTGTTTTCTCACTGTCAGCGGGTTTCATCTGGATAGGATGATGCATCTGGCATTTAGAAGGAAGACAAATAGTTAATACATCTTGACACTCATCTGCTCCATGTTGAAGCGTTCATCTGCTCTGTTGTGTTCTGACTCAAAACACCATCATCCCCCCCAACTGCTAGATTCAGCAGAGATGCGGTCTGTAAGGGATAGAATTCTACAGTATCTTGTATTAGGCTTAAGATTCTTCCTCTCAATATCTCATAAACATTTTACTGAGATGGTTGACATGCAAGCCATTTCTGGTCGTTTTATCTACAGTCAGATTTAGCTTTTTAGTATTTTTCTTGTAATCATTACGAATTATAATCGCATAGAAAACAACAAGGTCTGGCAAAAGGAGTAGAATCTTCCCATCTGTCATATCAGTTAAGAATAAGGCGCCTCATGGAACTTCAAGGCAAATATTTTTAGCTCATTTTACCTCGTTGTGTGACGTGTAAGATGTCTGAGCAGGTCGTACTTATGAAAAGTGAGTTTGTTTTTGACACGCGCTAGAGATAAGCAGACAGATGGCCCGCTCAGTGTGGGTACAAACTAGCGTCACTGACCAGCGAGAGGGAAAGAAACCGGGAACAGAAACAAGCTTTTCCACTGTCACACGAACCCAACTCAGTCACCCTCAGTAGCCGCATGATCAGGGAGCGCAAGTCCACACTTCGGATTCAAAATGTCACCGTGATTGATCCAGTGAAGAGCGCTAAGCGTGCTAAGCCTGCACGCTCATTTATCAACCCAGCTCAATATTTACTTTGCACCATCACAAACCGTTGCTCCATTCCCGATAGACTGCGTTATTGATTTAATTGACGACTGGAGTTGTTTGTTACAGATTTAATTGATTGGAAGGGAGTCGTTTAAAATGACTGGGCTTTAATCTAGATAAAATCATCCAATGAATTAAGAAGCCGCGCTCCCTCTCCCCCGGCCCCATTGTTAAAAATATTTCAACGTGATTCCTTTCATGCATCAAACTTTGGGAAATACTAATGTAGCTGTGCATCAATGATTCATGCAGACAAGCATTAATAATTTGTCCCACTTTGTAGTGATTTGGTGCGGTGCCTCAGTGAATGACCTGCTGCCTGGTCAAGTACACGTCACCAGATACCTGCATATGTAGTATTTGCGTTTGTACGTACTCGTCAACTGCTTTATCAATTTAGTGTGTTGAGATTCAGGCCAAAGATCTTTTTCAGGCCAGACGGGCGTTCAGCGAGCCGAGAGCTCTTCGTTGGGCAGCATGCGGCTCACATCTTGCATCAGCAGTGTGGAGGGGGGGGGGAGCTAAAAGCAGCCCATACTGTGCCTACTCACCCCACTTAAAGTCTTTATGTTGTGCAGTGCATTCTGGGCCTCCAGTGCGGCTTTTCTTGTATAAAAAGTAACAAAACAGCATCCTGCAGAGAGAGAAAGAGGAACAAACAAAGGGCGGGGTAAGGAGACAAAAACAGCATTAAAAAGACAGACAATTAATGTAATCCCGCCACTGCAGCAGAGCAAGAAGCCAAACGGATGAGGTGTACGTTCTCTGTGTATCACATGTTAGAAACGTGACAGGATATTCTTAGCGCCAGTTAGACGGGGCACTCAGCCCATGTGGGCGCTCGCAGCGAGGACACCGGAGTAATGAGATAGTTGAAGGCTGTTGTGTGACATGGCCATAGAGATGACCACAAGGCGAGGTCGCTGTCAGGAGGCGCTGATGCTCAGTCAACAAAGCCCGGACGTGCCAGGGCAGAGTACCAACGCATCACAGTGCCACATTACATAAGGATCCCATCGCACACAAACTTGCATACAGGAGGCATGAAAACGGCACAAAGAGAGACAAGAGGGAGCAGGAGTGAGCGCGCGGAAGAGGAACGACAGGAGGAGAGAGGAGGTGGGGGAGGGGGACGAAGAAAAGAAGAGCGGGGGTGGAAAAAGAAAAAAAAAGCCTCTCATCCTTCCGTCCCAGCAGACCGCCAGTGGCGTTCCAGCCTGTCAGTTTCACTGGGCTGGGGAAGTGGAGCACTGCAGCGTCTCTGACCTACATAGTGTGTATTATGCCGTTACTGGAGCTCCCAGGCCGCGGGGAGGGCTGTTGAACTCTAATATGCATCGAGCCGCTCTCCTCGCTCACAACCGCCTGAGCTCTCCCTTTCTCTGCTGCTTCGCCCTACCTCCAATTTACTGGAGCTAAATAAACCATCCAGAGAGGCGTGATAGTTATCGGATGATTCTTTCATGACCTGCAGTAGACGTGACCTAAAAAACACGCAAATATGATGGCGCTTTGGATGGATCCGGGGCAAAGTAAAAAAACTAAACAAAATGGGATTACAAAAATTCCCGCGAACAAAAGCCAGCCTGGCGACATAGGAAGGGGGGGCGGGGTAAAGACTATTATTTGCAATGCAAATAAAAATGAGCCAGATAGCAGCAGGCCGTCGTGCTTTGATAAAACAACCCCCCACTTTCCCCCAGTAAGAGTAAGACTACCGGGAAAGGAGAATGGCAGCAAAAAAGATGGGCGTTTCCGCCGCAACATATTCCCCTCACACAGGCCGAGTGAGCCAAAGGGCGCTGTGATCAGTCTAGATTAACCATTAGAATACATTAACATTGCATTAACATGTCAATAGGCCATCACAGCTGACACTCCACATACAACAGGGGAGGGCGCTGCTAGAAAGAAAAGAAAGGGCGGCTTTGAACTCTTCAGCCTTCCAATGAACTGGACACTGTTTTTTTGGCTTTATTTCTTTACACGGCCAGAATAATAAGCGTCCTGGAGCTTCTTCTGCGAAACAGTTAAACACGCTGGTCACATTAGATGTTTAAAAACATCATGTGAACCAAGTGCTGTCCTGCTCACATGGTGTGTTCCATTAGTGCCCCGAGACATAAAAGGCTGTTTTGAATCTAACAGCCACAGTAAAGTAAAGAGCCTCTGAGAGCGATCTAAATTTAGAGGTTTTCCGCAAGCCAGATCCATAAAGATTAGGAACCAGATTTTTTTATTTGCAGACAACACAGTCGTCATGTTATAGTTTACCGCTGAACGACTGATGTTTGGATTAATGCGGGCGGGAAAGAGAAAGCTTAAGCTTGTCCCTGTCCAAGTAACTGCGCTGCTGTCAGTATGCCTGACATACTGTAAGTAAGAAGAGGGTGGAGGTGAAATATGAGGAGAGGCTGCACTAAATGGGTAATATCACACATTTCCTTTGCTGAACAGCCAGGCAGCACTCAGACCGGCTCCACCAACCAACCATTTTACAGACTCAATCAGTGGAGCAGCAGCGCAGAAGAGTTGAATAATGCCGGCGCTACCTCGAAAACTACAGGGATGGTTGGCCAGCGTCCTTTATTGCCCAGGAGAGTGGGGGCCAGCTGGGTGTGCCAACAAACAACGAAACCACTGGTCACCCCAATTTATTATTATTATTTTTCTTAAATGACTCCGTTTAGACGCAGTGTCACGCATCAAAAACACTGCCACCCCATTAAAACCAGAGTGGATTAGTGCCTTTAGGGAGTCACCCAACCATCAAGGGAATTGAAATTTGGTCGATGTTGTAAAACCAAGACGTCGGGGAAACTGTCGCTTACTTGAGTCACCTGCAGTTAGTTACAGAAGACTGAGCACTTTGAGTGGCACCGTGCAGCTTTTCCCCCCCAGACGTCCTCTTGCAGTCTCCTCTAAATGGAACCTAAACTATATCGCTCAGCTCAAGCACCATTTCTAAAGGTGAGTGCATCAATAGATGTCTTAATGGAAAACTGCAGTTGAGTAACACTTCCTTTAATGCAGTTTTTAAGCCAGTAAATAAATAAAAACCATGTTCCTATAATTCCTCTGAAGAAAAATGCAATACTTTTTAACCTTGAAACAAAGGAACACTTATCTGCAGGCACAAACACCGCTGCACTGCGTGTGCAGACAAGCAATACCGCGCACTGCCGAAGGGGATTGTGCTGAAATGTGATGATAGATGACGTTGCAATAACGGCGTTTCGGGTATCGTGTTTCACCACTAAAAAACAGGTACTGTAACACTGTACATAATAACGGATTATGAATTAAAATGAGTAGTATTTTTAAAGCTAGTGTAGACAAATCATTTGAGGAGCTTTTGCTATATTGGCTGACACGCATTACATCCCAAATGTATTCAATAAATGAAATGCTGACAAACAATAAAAACAATTCTAGTAGACGCGGCTGTTGCAGCACTGTAATGAGCCTTTCCCATCACGCCATGAATGAAGTGATTCGACGGCGTATCGGTCGGTCTACCTGTGCTCGCTCATTCACTTTGACAGTTATGGCTACCACCAAAAGCCACGTTTACGGTTTACGTCAATCCTAACCAGATGGTCTCTAAAACTAATCTCCGTCCCCTCAACGTTTCACATAACAGACTCAGCAGATTTACACTATGAGACAATTGTTCATTAGATTGTGTCCAATCTAAATTGTACCGTCATTGTTGCGTTATGTAATTGAATCTTGTACTTTCTCGTTTTCCATTAACTTTGTAATTGTTAACCCTTGAAAATTAGATGCTACATCTCAAGGGGTCTAATACATTAGGTAGTTGGCTAGTGTTAGCAATTATAAAAATGAGTCTCTCGGGGGTGGTTGGGTAGCTCACTCTCGCTCGTTCCTCCAGGGTTGGGTTGAATGCAACCAATAAACTGATCACTCAACATTAAATATAGAAATGATATATTTGTTTTATAAGAAGGCTTTGGGAGATCGCCACAAACATCACAGATGATTTAGTGGCCGAGCGAACCTTTGCTCTGAGGGGGATTCTGGGTGCGATCCCGGAGGATGTTGATCTGGTGCACGGCGCCGAAGGGCTCAAAAAGCTCTTTGAGTTCCGTTTCTGACCAGGCCCGCGGGATCTGCCCCACGAACATCTTGATGGAGTCGGGGTCCGGCTGGTCCAACTGCTCCAGCGACCCGTTCATCTTGCTGCCGTTGCCGTTGCTAAGAAAGAAAGAAAATGGTCAATTTAATTGAATTGTTGGTGTTACACGTTATTGAGAAGCACACTGTTAACAACTTGGTGAGTAATGCTTACAATGTAGCGCTCTCCTGAAATAGCTCAATCATATCAACAAAATTGTTCAGAGTGGCAGTTCGACATCAATCCATTTCATATCTGCGCATAATGAACAATATCAGCTTAAACAAATGTCTTCGTTAAAACTCCCAAATAGCTGATTGGGCTTTGTCATGGTGTTGGGGGACTTAAACCAAAAATCGAACATCAGGATCAATTATGATGTACTAGATAAACTAGAATTAATATCTTTGCGGTTTCATAAATGGAACGTCCAACAATGCGGAGTCAACAACATACCACTTAACAATCTGTGTGTAATACAACAATGGCTGAGATGAGGGAAGTACTAAATTGTGCCATTTTCCTTTGAGGTAAGCCTTGGGGACAGAAAATCAATACCCGGAGTATCTACGAGTACAACACTGTTGGCCCACTCATACAAACTCAAAGATCAAGGGCACAAACATTTCCTGACAGGTGCTGGAAACCAGGAATGAGACTGAAGCCAAGTCGGCCGGCGGTGTTGAGGCGAAGGAATCATGTTTAGTACAAAGTATCCCTCCCAATACCCAATGTAATCCCACAGATGATCAAGAACGGCCACATACAACACAATAGGTGTAGTCTGTGGGACAGAAGATGTTTGGCACACGCACACAACAAGAATGTCTTTAAACAATATTGTGAAAGGAGAAGACTGTCAAAAAAAGACTACCGTAAAAGCAATATCACACACAGACCTTTGGACGCGAGCCATCCATCTCTTACAAATGGAGCCCAGTCGTTCCGCAGAAACCCCAAACTCCTTGAGGGACCTAAATGACATGCTGACAAATCACGCTTCAGCTCTTCTTCTGATATCCAACTCCACACCTCCGTATGAACGGTTGCTTTTCTCCCCCTCCGGAGACGTCAATACATAAGTATAAATTTGGGCGAGTGCCCCCCTCCCACTACCTCCGACAGCGAAGCGAAGACAGCACTGCGGAGCTCTAAACCTACAAGAAGCGCGGGTTAGCAGGCAGAGGTTCTGCAGTGCATCTCCTCCTCAGGCGCTTTGGCGATGGTACAGAGAGTAACCTACAGCTTCTTCCCCACAGCAGGGGAACAATCACATATTGTTCGCCCATGCTGGGGAACACTATTCCCCGCTCCCCTGCAGCACAATGGGCCGAGTCAGAGGGACGTTTTGGAACACGTCGAGCGCTACGTCTGCTAAGGCCACGTCGCTGGTGGTTGACACCATTTATCCCGCTTTTCCAGTTGCACTCTGACGCCATTTTGCTGAGGGCCCTTCGCTGAAACCGCAAACCTCACTCGAAAAACTGGAATTGTGTCCCTGCGTTCAAAAAACACGAAGGCTCAGAATCCATTCCCTTTGACAGTCTCAACATTCATCAACCCCCTCCCCCCCGCAGCTGTGCATTGTCCCTTTAGACTGCTAAAGACAAATATACATTCTACATTACGAGCTTTCTACACAAAACAAAAAGGCTACGAGTAAATAAATGAGTACGTATATATCATGCATTTATGTTGGTAAAGAAATTTAAATCCATGATTCCTCGATCATCAACTCGTAATCTCGGGACAAAAAAAAAAAAAAAAAGCAAACTGGTGCTGAACCATTACTTTAAAAAAGGGAATAGCAATCATCTGCTAGCTGAGCTACCAGAAGGCAACAGCTGTCTTCAAGGATCAGTGTCTTCAAGTAGCGTATCAGTTTCAAGTGACACCTGCTGACATTAGGTAGCATCTCTCAGTAGAAGAAGCGTAAAGCCGTTAAGGCTGCATAGGTCAATACAGCAGTGGGATTCCGCCAGTACAAAGCTGCCATGACACGCTTAACAACACTTTCGACAGTTTTTACTTGGCAGAAATCGGTTTCAATGACGATGGATCACAACGAGTGCAGTTATGTCCGAGTAGCCAGAATTTTGTTTCAGTAACGACAATAATCAAAAAGGTTTTAGCATCACAATTGGAATGTCATTCTCTCTCTTTGGCACTGGGCTGAAACCAGACATCTCAGGACTGACGTCGTATCTCAAACCCTGAGGAAATGTATCCGATGGTATGCGCATGGCCCAATACTAGAAATGCAAGGAATAGCTTGAGGCTTTAGTCATTACTTTGCTCAATTTCTCTGGTTTTTCTACGTCTAAACATAATTTCTTCATATTTTTTTGATTCAATTGTAGCAGAGTGAATAAATCCAAATATTTCCTTAAAAAAAAAAAAAAAAACTGAAAGCATACTCACTATGCAGAAAAGCAATTTTAAATGACATCATTGATTAGAATTATTGAAGGATATCCAATTCTTACTACTTTACATACTAAACAATTAGAAAATACACAACTTAACAACCCGTCATAGTGTATTAGTTGATTCATCATTTCAATTAAAATCTAAATGTGCTAGGCAGCCTTATTAGTAAAGAATATTGTCAAATGAATTTAGCGAACTACAATAACACCCTGAGATTAAATTATTTGACTGTGCTGGTGAAATCTGCCATCTGCTTTTCCATTGTAACATAAAACATTGTCCCCCTCAATGCTCATCATTCACCACTACTTCAAACAAAATATCATAAAAGCACAAACCAGCACAGATAAATATTGGCATATTATGAACACCAGTAACAACTCAATACGAAATACGAAAATATAACAAAAGTTGGTTCTGTCAATTACTGGCCAGCTCTGCACCTTACACCACCCAGCAGGGTGCTCCCAGACGGGCCGGACGACTCTTGTGCAGAGCTTCCATAAACAGCCCGGCGACATGGCAGCTCAACGAGCTTGGAGATGCCCTCCAGCAGCTGACGAGTCCTTCAGTCGCATGCTTACTGCTGCACCACCCATAAAAACAGGTGATTTATCTGGACCATGTGCCTGGCCTGTTCGTGAGCTCTGACCGCACAAGTATGCCAGCGACACCTTTGCTGTGCCCATAATAGAAAGCCAGCCAATTTACTCGGTAATGAACAAGACTTTGAAAGCTCAGCACCTTGTGTCCATAAACCATCAGGGTTCCCAGCAGCAACACGTCACATGATTTTGTTTCGAACACCCCTGCTGATAGGAAGCAAACCCTTGCATTAAGGAAAAGAAGAAAGAACTCTATAGAACTATATTTTTTTTCTTAAGAGAATTTGGCATATACAGAGTAATTATACTGCTTTAGCTAAAATATCGTGTCAACCCGAACGTTTGGGGCAGTGTGTAGCTCCCCGTTTCAGTAATATACTGAAAACCTTTTGCCGTAGGCTGTTTTGGCAACCAGCAGTACACGGTGGTCATGCTTTATTGGGGGTATTAAAAAAAGTCAGATCACACAGGCACACGTAGTGCTCCTGAGAAAAGATGGAAATCGGTTGCATGAAACAGCTGTTTGCAAGTAATACCCTAAAAAAAAAAAAAATCTTTTTAAGTGGCTTTTTTTATTTTATTTAGGAAACCAGCGGTCTTATAAGCTGATTCAACGAGACAGAATGCCTCCAATGCCATGGGGAGATCTTTGACAGCTGTCAAGCAAAACATGGAGGCGCTCTCATCTGGCTTATTCGTTGAAAATATCCTCCAGACATGGAGTTGTAGCTTAAAAAGGGCCACAGGATTTACATAACATTGGCTGTAGGACCCCTGAAGCAACAGTCAGACTTGTGTATTAGGATTGAAAGAACAAGTGATGACCACGGGCGGATGTCGCTCAATGCCAGGAATGAGAAACAGTAGGGATGAGTGTTATTTGAGTTCCATACCGAGTGGTTGACCCTAAGCAGCACATTGCGGTTCTAATGCAGTTATTTACTTTAGATATTTTTCTGCCATTAACTCCAATTCCGCTCAATGTGGCCCTATGTCCTTGTTGCATTTCCCTGATTAAGACCGACATGTTCAATCAGCGTCTGAATGGGCCGTATGTTAACAGGCGCCAGCGTCTGATGACAAAGCCCGCACCATTAGCTCCGTAATCACACAGAGCGTCCCTGGCGGTCGTGGATGACGTTGTTTAAAAGGGTAGCTTGAGTGAATCAAGACCGTCAGATTCCCAACTAAATAAACACTGCTTAAACTTCTGTTGTCACATGGAGCATGTAGACTTGGGTAGACTGAGCAGAAACCGTAACAATGCATCTAAAATGAAGAGCCAAACAGTCCACTACATGCAGTTCAATCTAGGCGAGTAAAATGAGACTACCCACACTTTTTTGTGTGTCAGAATTCTACCCTCACCGTTACTTAAAATGGCAGTTGTTTATACTATATGATAAATGATTGCTGATTACCAATTTCTGCTCCAGAGAGCCATTAATCTATTGTCACATTCCTTCAAACCAATCCATTACAACATTTTTTCATATGATTTCATGAAGACAGTGACTTAATCCATAAGCATGTCGACCGCAGCCCAATTCTGTAAAATATATTAAAAATATTAAGCTAATTTTATTTTAGAGCCTTACACTCACACCCAATAGCTTATTATTTATTTTGCTGACTGAACATGCCTCTAGTGTAGACTTTGTCCATAACTAAACAAACGTACCGTAGTCACAATTTCACCTGCATGATGGTTGCATCTGGTCTTATGTAACAGTGTCCCACAATATCTGTTGTTTGCAAAGCTTCCAGAGGAATTTGCTCAACCTTCAATGACGCCGCCCCACATAGGGTACGTGACTAGGAGCGTTCCAAGGCTCTAGAGCTCCAGGACAGCCAGCCATGTAATTATTGCATTGCAGTAGCGGAGAAACAGGTGACAGACTACACCAGAGAACCCCTGCTCTCAGCCTTCAACATCTAGCACTCTCACCCCACTGCTGCCACCCTCCCAGTGGCGAGCAAAACAGCTGGCCCGAGGAGCCCCCCCTCCACCAAGTGCCAAGATCCCTCACTTTGCACCGATCAACAGCTTCCTGACCACGTCAAAAGGGATCACTGTGAGCTCACCGACACGGCGAATGCAGTGGCTGCCAAAGGATCACACTTAAGCCCTCAGTCACTCTCACTGTCAACAATCGACAATCAACAGGGGGGATAAATCAATCAAATACACCTGGGACCAGATATAAATCATCAACACAATATATAGTATTCAAATGGATATCCTGTGATGATGTGATACTCTAAACACTCATTATATAAAATGCACCCATTAAATGGCCGAAACTCCCCTCAATTTATAATCAATCAATGGAAGGTAGGGTGCTACAACGTAATGGGCCAAATATTTTCTTAAATCTTACGAAAACGATTTGTTTATCGGCCGGTTTTGCTATCATTACAGCAGAATTATGGCGGCAAATCACTGTCAAAATGCACGAGTGCAAATCAAACATCCGCAAGCAAAAGTCCTCGCGGAACGTGAACTTCGCTGCTCGCGAGGTTAGTTTCTGCCCATGCTCGAAGGTGTTTTCTATGCGCTTGCTGTTGTTCTTTTTGACCTTAGTGGACTGTAGATGACAACCAGCTACAACCATAATTTACCATCATTACCGGCACATTAAGACCGATGCGTCAAGCTCCCAGACCGGTTGTCATCTACAGTCCACTGCAGTTACAGAGGAGGTATCGTTTGTGTTTCGACAACGTTTTATCTCGTAATTTCGACTTTTATAGTGCAGAAATGGGCTTCTATAGTTGTGTGGATGCATCACTCCAGCCAATCCAAAGACGGGGTTTGTAACCAATCAGGTGTAGAGACCATGGTGACTGGCTCCGCCCCCCACTGTCAAAAAGAACAACAGCGAGCGCGTAGAAAACCGAGCGCGAGCAGAGACTAACCTCGCGAGCAACGAGGTTCACGTTTCGCGAGCGCATCAACCTGATTTGTGCTCTTTGACAGTGATTTGCCGCAATATTAGCTGGCGTTATGTGGTAGTGATGGGAAGTTCGGATCTTTTTATCGACTCGGTTCCTTGAATCTCGTTCAGTAAAATGAACGATCGTTCTTAGAGTCATTTGTTGACGGGGGGGGGGGGGTGTAAGATATTACCGACCGTTCAGTAAAATGAACGAATATTTTTTTGAGAGGACTCGTTACTCTTGAGTCCTTGAAAGGTTCACGAACGACACATCACTATTATGTGGAGAGGACGGGGCTCCACTATGGACCTCTGTGTGAGCGAAAGCCTCCCCTCCCTTGTGTACATGCCCTGTCACACGATTCACATTAACGGCTCAATAATGTGGCTAACCACGTGTTGTCCGCCGTTAAGTAAGCACTCTACTTACAACATGGACGGGGGGGGGGGCAGATTGTGGGGTGCAACTAACGACGTTAGCTCGACAGTTAGCATGGAGGGACTGGGAGTGCGCCAAGCGAGCCGAGCTAATAGCCCGTGTGCTGCCTACAAACAAGCGCCACTCCGGCGGGTTTACGCTGCGGCCAAATACACATCACGTCGGCAACAAAACGCATTAATGTTGGTTGATGAAAGCTAACTTTAGACCAACTTTAGCACGGTAACTCTACCCGACGCACTTCCCTTTAAACCAGTTTTTGATTGCATGTTTTTACACCTACCTTTACGGCTGAGAACACGTTAACTTGATCAACTAACGTTAGGTTGGCTAAACCAACCAAAAACGTGGCGCTTTGTTTGTACAAGTAAAGTCCAACAGACTTACACGCGTACCGTTGTTGTTAAAAGCCAATATATGCCGTTATCTCCCGGCTGATACCGAAACGTAGTCTCCGGAAGCACATGTCAGTGGACTATTGTCGCGCGCCTGTTATCCGACACAGAGCTAGCGAACTGCGTTTAGTTTGGGTAACACGGTGTTAGCCCAAACACTTGTGTACTGCGGTCATGAGTCGAATGAAATGTACTCGGGCGACTTCCGTTGAGATTGCTTCCGCAGTTGTCGTAGTTAGACAAACTACTTCAACTTCACGTGAGCGCACCGTCACCGTTCGTATGATTAGCAACGTTAGCATGCCAGTTAAGCTAGCGGCAGCTAACCACAAACTCCCGCGGAACCGCGTTGTCTTTCTCAACAAATAAATAAAACGCAGATAAACTGCAACACGGCACATGCCGATACTTCGATTACTTACATCGTGTCGCTGGCGGTCATTAACCGACTTTCGGTTAGAGGGTGGTAATCCAGGTTGAACGCCGAAGTCATGCTCATAACGCCGTCTATCTAACAATGAGAAGCGACGTCCGCTCACTCCGCAAGAGGATCAACTCCTGCGAGACGAAGCAGAACAGGTGCAGGGAGGGAAGAGGGTGTGTGTGTGTGAGAGAGAGAGAAAGATGGGGGGCGTCTTCTTCAAAACTGTATGGTGGGGGAGAGAAGGGAACCGGTATCCGCCTTATTCCGTCCTTCTAATTTCTCTGCCGTCCCCCGACTGAAATAAATTCCGGCGAGCCGCTGTCACAGCGAGCCGCAGCGGAGCAGAGGCGTGGCCTCTTTTCTCTCCACAAAAAGTGTGAAGCACGCTGCTGATCAGCGAGCCTCGCCGTCTTCCATAGAGTTCAGTGACCTATTTGTAGTTTTAGGTCGGTTGATCTGCCGTGGCATCCCCGTGATGTTCTCATAAAGACTGGTATTCTGCAGCGTGTACAGGAAGGAACTGCACATTCCAGGATTCAGTGCCCGTCCTTATATAGAGGGATCCAGAGCCGTTTAACACGTTAAAACATAAAAACCGAGGTGATTATTGTCAAAAATAATTATTACGTTGCTTTTTTAACATTTTCATTCTTTATTAATTGCCTTAAATTGCATACAGGACCATCTCTCCCAATTGAAAGTGAGATCGTTGAAATGCAGTTTTCCTTGCTGTCTTCGGCCATGCTTTCCCCCCAGGGTCACAGGTCATTTTTCCCTTTTGTGCTGGGCTGTTCTTTCCCTGGGGGAGGGGAAGCTTATCTTCTTTTGTTGTTTTGGACTTGCAGGGCGAGGCCTCTACACTGTGGGGGGCGGGGGCAGTGGGGGAGGAGGGGGCGGGGGGGGAGGGGGGCAGCCTAATTATCCAACCTTTCAGCATTGCTACAGCAGCTGCACAATCCCAAAATATTATTCATAGGGAGCGTTCAAAAACAACCCCCATTTATGAAATCCAATTTAATCCCTGTATCCATAGCAATTTCAAGGCAACTCGGTTCGAGCGCAGAGCACGCTCGATTAAACAGTGTCTAAAAGAGGTCTGTATGCGTGATGTGACGTGCGACCTATTTTGCAATACATGCATACAGGCTCACTATGTAACACACATTACCAATAAGGGGTAGCTATAAAAAGATAGTTCTAACCTTTCTGGAGAATCAAAAGTCATTCAAATGGAGGAACAATATAATAATGCCATCCAAACTGCAGCATCCACATATTTCCTTCATCTCAATTAGGACTCTGGGGATTCTATTGAATGGATTTGTTATGAAAAAATCTGGATTCTTGCATAAAGCAGCTTGTGTTTGTCTCATTAGTAATATAACAATAATAATGTATATATGTATAATAACAATAATACATAAATATATATTTTATATCATATTACTAATCTACAATATGGTTTTCTATACAGTTCTTTTATGCGATGGCACCAGGTTACGCATGTCCTCTTTTCGAAGAACTGTTTATTTGGCTGGATTCCAGAGGCTGATGCTTCGTTGCCAGCACCTTCTAATGCTAGCCTTCTATTCTTAATCTCAGATTATTACTACTGTAATCCTATCCTAATCCTCAACACGTATCGTGCTTTGTTGTTTACATCCAATTTTTCCCCTTATGTGGCGCCAAGGTCCCACTCACCTATCATCATCATCATCATCCTCCTCCTCATCCAGCTTTTACAATTTTTCCCCCTTCGTGACAAACTGCCGGGGTAAAAATAGGCCGGTTTTAAAACCAAAATGGGTCACTTTGTCTTTTTTTGAAGACGTTAAGTCAAACTCAGAGGCCTTCTTCTTCTCAGCGCTGCCTTTCACACAATGATTTGCATAATGGCGACCAACTAAAGCGCTCCCAAAATGGAGAGAGATAACTTCATCTTATTCTTTCCAGAGAAAGTCCACTGGGTTAACATGTACTGCCTCATCAGGGCCCTGTTAAATCCAAATGCCAAAATGGACGTATACGTTTCTTTGTGTTCTTTCAAGGATAATATTTTATTTTTTGGAACTGGGGGAGTGCAGTGAGGCCTGGGATGGTTCAGTAGATATCTAATCACACAGGTTTAACGTCATCATTTAAGAGACAAACGCTTGCATCACATTCATCTCTTTTTCTTTATTTATGGTGCACGCAAGTACCTGAGTCGTTGTGGAACTTTGAAAAGAAGAGGAAGGTAATGAAATGAAATGAGATTGCTATATGGTATTGATTTTCCTTTTCTAATCTCACAACCTTCTGATTGAAACCATTTTTGTGGGGAAGATAGAAGTGACATGCATGGCCAAATTCATTAGATTTCACATACATGGTCTGTTGGTTCCTCAAAAAAAAAAAAAAAAAAATCCCACACCCTGCCCACAACACGAGAGGACGCCTCAACTGGAAACAATACATCCTATGAAAATATTCAGCCCAGACAAAGAAGCAGTCCAAATACGGGCTGCTCCACAAAGGCTAGCCCAGATTTCAATGAGGGGCCAACCCCAACGTACCTCATAGGCAGGTCCTCATTCCTGACAGAGATCCCGGTCGCAGAGGGGGGACAGCGCATGCTGTTGGCATACAAACTCTGCACCAGGGCCAGCTCAGAAGAGTGTTCCAACATCGGTGCTCTGGAAAAATCCACCCGGCGTAATGGACACTTTCTTCTCTTTCCCTCTTTCCTCTACGTGTTTCTCTCCCTTTCTCTGTCTCCCGCCCACTCTTTTTCCTCGGTTTAGTGCAGCAGAGCGGCGCCCACCCCCTTCGCTGACTGGCGTGGCTGAAATAATCCTCTATGACAGCTCATCGTGCGCTAATGCATTGTGCTGCCTGCGGCAGCCCAGTTTGCAGCCTGTAAAGCTGTGGCCACAGTAGCACTCTCGCACTAATTGACGCCCACATTAGGAAAACTTTAGTAAATTGGACACAAATGATTTATTACCACTGTCAAGATTGGGGGGGAAATTAGAGGAAACATAGACACCGTTGCTTCAAGAGCTCATCCGCATGTCCTGGTTTTGTGTCACGTTGTCATGTAGGAATGCTTCACCGAAAGGCCCAACCAGTCAGACTTCTTTCAATGAGTCCATGAAGCCTGGAATTCAAAAAAATGGGATTTATTTTTAACATTGAACTGCTCATCAGCTGTACATGTGGCAGGTGAATATAGCGTACCATTCTGTGTGCAGCTCCTGCGGAGATGTACATGTCAGTGTCCCTGCGTAGGCTGGCTGATGATACACCAGTGGGTGACAAGTGGAGAGCTGACAACCTCATACCATCATTATTCTCAAGTACATAGGGATAAAGATAGCCTGCTGGAACATAAGCATAGATTTTGGTCGGCATGAATACTTGTTACATAAGGACAGGTTCCACCTATGGGCATATATACTTACAGTATTCTACTGCATGATGTAGGTATATTTATGACATGTACCTGTCTGTAATTCTGCAGGACGATCTGGGTTATGCCGTTCATCTTTGTGATGGCATATGGAAGAGGGCTCTCACAAAAAAACTCCTTGCATGTTAATTTGCATTGGACGTTGTGAGCCATTTAGCTTGTAATGTGACGAAGGCGAAGCAGGTTCTTCTGCTTCTGGACATTGCAGTGCACACGTTCACACGTAAAGCATGATTTGGTGTCAATGTGGCACCGATTAAAAATCTGAAGGCAATTTGAAGCATACTTTTTGCATACTTTTTGAGAATTTAAATCGAGGTCTCATTGTCCCATAGGTGTTGTGTCCCGTTAGAATAACCTGACAATGAGTAGGGAAGTCATCTGTAACAGGGTCAGCGTGCAACGAAGACCAGCGTGAAGCGGCTCTACTTCCTCCGATCGAGGCACGCAAACCTCTTCATTCCAGCCCTGCCCTTTTTCTGCTGACATGAATATTTTAAACGCTGAAATCCAGCTCTTTATGATGCGTTGCTGCTTGGTATGACTGTCGCGCTGAGCACGGAATCCCAGGAAGCTCTGATCTACCAACATGTAAAGAGCACCAAAAATGTGAAAGTAATAGAGGTTGGAGAAGGGAAACAACGAGACACAAAATGGCAGGTGAATGCTGTATGGAATTCGTACGGAACTTGCAAACGGGCAGCAAATATGCATCGCCTTGTGAGCACAACCACATCCTGTTCACGAGCACGGTGAAGAGAAAGGAGGCGTTGGTGCATGACAAAAAAAACGCACTCATGCCTGTCATAAGCCAAATAGCAGCACATGTTTACAGCACGGCAGGTGGCCTTGTGATGAGTGAAAGCAGCAATCGGCTTTCCCTTTTCACCACTTGTGAGCTCTCCTGGGACTGATTGCACAAACAAATAGCGTCTGTGCTTTTGTTGATTAAGAGCGAAACTGTTGCGGCTTGCTGCATATTGTGTTTTGCAGCGTGCACTGATGCACTTGCACATGTGAGTTTCACAGTTACATTTACATTCTGATCACATCAGAATAATATCCTGTTTATGAAGCAAAGATGCATCTGGACAGGGTGAAAACTTTATTTTTTTAACCAAATAAGAGACAAAGACAGAATCCTTTTCATGTCAGACGTGGCTGAGTTCTATCTTTACCGGCGCTGTTCAGTAAAATTTATGATCCGACAGATGCTCGCAACAAGCTTCCACTGTTTGAGACCTGACACCAGCATGTGTGATGGAGGAGGGCCAGAGGCCCGCAGCCACGAGGCGAGTTAGCATTTTAGCATCAGAGGATACTGCTAACTACGACCTTCCCCTTTAGCTCGTACAAAGTCTCAAAAATCCCCTGTTTTGCATTACTGATTCTGTGCTTCGTGGCTTATTTATTCATGTATTGTATTCCCCCTCTCTGTGTTAAGTGGCTTTACATGTGGGCTTGCACGAGTGATAAAAATAAGAACAAGCTAAACCGCATTGAAATGTCAGCTTGTTTCGGGCAGAAGTCAATTTGACTTCCTCTTTTTCTGCACACATCATTTTTTCCACTTCCTCTTTTGATTTAGTGTTATGAGAATACACAGAGGACATTTCCATCAGGGCCATCTATGGCAGCAGTGCTCTCAAGACAAAGACAGGCTGAATAAGTAAATGCTTGAAAAGCGAATAAGTCAGAAGGGCTTTTCAGCCAAAGATAAAAGATAGCTTTATGCACACAAACCAAGGTGTCCGAGAGCTTTGGGTTCAAACCTATTTATAACGAAACCACGACTTCTGTATGTGACTGCACTCTCAATAAGGGCATTCAATCCCCCGATTGGGAGTGCCACAATTATCTTCAATTACATGAGGGCAAAATTGAAAC